GTTTTATTATTAAAGTCTTTCAAATTACAATCTGTTCTGTTTCTGCAGAACTCTGGTGACAGCACAGAAGGAGCACATCAATTAAAGATGAAATAGCAAGACAAATACATGAATAAAATATTCAGCATTCAAATAAACTTCCAAAAGCCACTCCTCAGCAGCAAAATGCCATTAAATCATTTAGGAACTCATTAATAGGTTAACATTTGGAAGAGTAGTGACAGTGAGAGTTGAAGTCAAACTAAATGAAAACAAAAAGACATATTACATAATCCTACTGAATGCTTAAAGGGAATCAATATAATAAAATATCAGAGGCAATCAACGTTGAGACAGTTGTTTTTAAAAGGCAATGAAACTTGTGTACATACATATTACCACATGGTACAGATATTTAACACACATATGTTAGTACTTCATAAATTCTGCGTATACTTCCATATTTCCAAAATATAAAAGAATATATTGAGATGAAATAAATGGTCTCTATGAACATGGTCAGAGATGATACTTTAGTGCCACTGAACTGAATCCTAAGCGAAAATGACTGTGTTTAACCTTATAAAAAAAACTAAATTTTCTAAACATTGCCCTTGTTCTTTATGAAGGTTCAAATGTACTTTCAAATAAATTGATATCATGGGCATCATTTTTAACCACTTGTGATATATCTCTAAAGAAAAGGAACTGGTATAGTAGAGCAGGGATTGTTTGTACTAATTAACAAATTTTTCTATCATAACTTACCCATTTTAGCTATGTCATTGAACTATGCGAGTACACATTGGAATCTGAGTTATTATTGAAGATAATATTACTAATTACTGGGAAAAATAGGAATTTCATTGTGTGAGAATGTGTACGTTTTGGAAATCTCCTTTCCTACTTTGGATCTGAAGAAGACTTCTGTGGTGTTTCACAGGAGCTACAGCTGTTTCCAACGGGGCACAAATTAAGTACATGATGAGTAACAGGGTTGGAAAAGTCGTAAATGCCACATAAATGAAGTTATCAATGAGTACAGATGATTGGGGTTTTAGATTTGCAAATTTCCTTTTTAAATGTACTTATTGATTTGTTGCAAATACTGTTAACCCTGTATTTGGCCAATGGTGAAGACATTATCACTTGTGTTCTCATTTGTAATAAAACAGATTAACTTGCTGTGAAATTTTAACTAGGCTGAGACACAACAGTAGCCAACTAATGAACCAAAGCATATTGCAGTTAAGTAGCTAAATGGATGCATACATATTACACGGTGAAAAATGGATCTGTTTACTTGCAAAGAAGAAATTGTTCATATAATTATTCATTATTTTAGGAGAACTTAAACATTCCACTTCCACAGAGATTAGAAAAAACACGCAGTTCTTAATCAGTAAAAGGCACTGCATTTGTATAACATCGTTTGAATTGTGAAAAAGTCTGACTTCAGTGCTGCCTTAGAAAACTAACGATGGACTGAACCTTGATTGAATTTGGTAAATACAGGCTACAAACTCTTAAAGCAGAAAATTTGCTTCATGCAAAATGTTACTGTCACTCTTAATATTCATTTTCTATATGATATTCTCAAAGTTTGTTCATCGTTTCACATAATATGCTGCTGAAAATGCAAAGAAAGAGTTTCAGCATAAGTTATTGTAGTTTATATTGTTTGATCGTATGCTAATTTTAAATATATTAGAGAAATCCACTATTTTTTCTTAATATTAATTAATATCCATTGTGTGGCTTTTTTTGTTAACAATCATGATACTTTCTATTTGGATAGGTGCTCTTCTAATTATTATTTATTCATAATGAGCTTTATAGTTTTTATTAGGCAGAGTGAGCAAGACCAAGTATCACTGTTAGTTGGATTCACTTGCCTTTTTAAACCATGAAACTGTGTGGATCGCTCCAAAATTGTTTATTTTTATTACAGCATCATACATTGCTGTATATGTGATTCCAGTTTGCTATCACACAGTGATTTTTCCTTTTGTCACTTTTATTTTTTCACAATAATTGCTGCACTTTGTCCCTCTCCATTCATTCAGAGGTCCATTAGAGATATGGTTCATTGAATTACACATATTTGAAGGAAATTTCCAATGTTGAAATTCAAACACAAATACTGAATCTTCTACAGTTTTTGCACATATTTTGGCATGGAATCAGTGAGACATAATGGTGAAAGGCAAAAAAAATTGGCCACATATATTAAATTCCTTTCACTGGTGTGTGTGTGTGTGTGTGTGTGTGTGTGTGTCTGTGTGCCTGTGTGCACTCACGTGTATGCACATGCACACACATGCACACACATACTATTTAAAGAATGTATGTTAAAGCATTATAGTTTAAGTTGAATTTCACACCTGATAAACTACTAGTCTTTTTTAAAGAAAGTGAAAGGATGTGATAGAAGCGCTGTATGGATCTTGTTGTCAATACCCATGACATCCCTCCAAAATGTGAATAGAATTTTTGGGGAAAAAACTTGATTCTTTTCTTCTGCTTTCCTTCTATATTTCTTTTGATTTTTTCCCTGCAGACATTATGTGACAAGTAGATATTTCCTGCATACTAAATATAAATGAAATGTATCAGTATACTCCTCTGAAAACATTGTTTTGGAGGAATGAAAAAAGCCATAAAGTCCTTAAAACGTAATATGCGTTTAACATTATTGGTATTTAATTAGCATATAATACTGCAGCTAATGTACTCAAGGTCTAGTATTCATTTCACTAAAGTTATTGGACGTTAATGAAATGCTAAGCAATAATGTAAAACAAAATTTAAAAATATGGATGCTACATTGATGACTGTATTAGTGTTCTATTGTTGCTATAATAAATTGCCACAACTTTAGTGGTTTCACATATTGCAAATCTATTATCTTGGAGTTCTGTAGGTCAGAAGCTGGACATGAGTTTCACTAGGCTAAAAGCAAGGTGTGATCAAGGCTGTATTTCTTTCTGTAGACTCCAGAGAAGAATCTGTTATCTGTTTTCTTTTCTTTTAAAATAATTTCAACTTTTATTTTAGATTTATGAGACACCTGTGCACGTTTTTTACATGGATACATTATGTGATGGTGAGGTTTAGGCTACTAATGGTCTCGTGACCTAGGCAGTGATTATAGTGTCTAATAGGTAGTTTGTCAGCCCTTTCACTCTTCTTCTCTACCCCCTCTAGAAGTGCCCAGTGCTTACTGTTAAAGACCACTCATATTTCTTTGCTCATGACTCCCTTCTTCCATCTTCAAAGCCAGCAATATTGCATCTCTGTGACCATTCTTCTGTAGTCATGTCTGCCTCTGACCCTTCTTTTCTGCCTGTGTTTTTCACATTTTAGAATCCTGGTGATCATATTGGGTCCACTAAGATAATCCAGTATAATCTCTCTATTTCATGATTCTCAATTGCATCTGCAAAGTCCCTTTGGCCGTGTGAAGTAACAGATTCACAGGTTCTGGTAATTATGATGTGGATTGCATATTTTAAGTTGGGAAGATGACATCATTCTGCCTGCTGCAATGGCCGACATTGGATAATGTTAACGACTACTAATGAAAAAAAAATTTTTAACTTTCGTTCTACTGCTTTTGCATTAGACAAACAGCTTTTTAGGGGACTTATTTGGGCTTCTCATGCAAAATCAATGTGGAAATGTACAAGCACATATTTGACAAACTATTTCTTAATGTTATGATGATTAGAATACTGATGTTGTGATTACAGATAATTAGACAGAATATTTAATTTAAGAAATTTATTATGGATGAATTAAATATATTATAGAACACTGTCCCAGCATGTCTATTACCCAGTCACATTTATTGCATATGTGCATAAAGACTGTAATTTCATTCTTTTATTGATAAAATTAACTTAATGATTGGGATTTATTCATCAATTTGTGGTGCATAAACAGTGAATAGCTTCAGTCTTTTATAGCAATTTTAATAATCACAAAAGTCTTAAGAGGCATAATAATTACTGGAGAAATATGCAGAAATATTTTATTGAAATCCATTATTGAAAACTACAAAAATCTGTGGAATATTAGAGGAATTGACCTTGATAGTTCTTAGTGTAAGTTTGAAAAAAAACAATAATTGTGTACTGTTACCATCACAACTTTTTTTGTTTTTTTTTTTTTTGAGATGGAGTTTTGCTCTTGTTGCCCAGGCTGGAGTGCAACAGCGTGACCTCAGCTCACTGCAATATTCGCCTCCAGGATTCAAGGGATTCTCCTGCCTCAGCCTCTCCAGTAGCTGGAATTACAGGCACCTGCTACCATGCCCAGCTAATTGTTTGTATTTTTAGTAGAGAGGGGGTTTCACCATTTTGGACAGGCTTGAATTCCTGACCTCAGGTGATCCACTCACCTCGGTCTCCCAAACTGCTGAGATTATAGGCGTGAGCCACCACACCTGGCCTATTAAAATATTTTGTTGGCAGAATACAATGTAAGTTATTAAGGTCTGACAGATTATAGGTATCTAATATACAGGTATATTTTTCCATAAATTGTGTCCTTACAGAAAACTTCAACATGTGCCAGGTGCTCCAATTGGTGAGTTTTATTCCAGGACTCTCAAGTCTTTTATCTGGGAGTTCTCCTTCTTAATGAGATAGGAGTATCACCTTCCAGGCCTTGCCATGAACTTTACATCAATCTGTAAGCTACCATAACAATAATCTTCAAAACACACCTACACTATTAATCATTTATGAATTTTTTAGGAGAGAGTGGAAATTAACTTTTCTTGAGCCTTTACCATATGCTTTTTTGCCTTCTTCTGTAAGTTAGCCCTCATGATATTTCATTAATTTCACAAGAATCGAAAATATATTTTTGTTTAAAGATATGTATTTAAGACCAAGTAGTACAGATCTGTACACTTTCACGATATATGAGAGATCAACATGTCACATGTATAGACACAACCGACAGAAAAACTTGGCACATAGATGACACTTCTTTTGTGTTTCCTTTTATGTCAGGAGCGGATCCCCGAGAGTCCCTCTCCTGCTCCTTCTCTGGAAGAGAATCATTGCCCTGGGAGCCAGACCTCTTCCCACTCCAGCAGCAGTGTGTCCAGCTCTCCCTCTCAGATGGATCATCATTTGGAAAGAATGGGTGAGTAACTTTCCTGAAACAGGTGATTGGACAATATTGTTGTAGGAAATTAGTTGTTAGGAAACATAGAGGAGAAGGAAAAGCTGGGGAAGCTGACAACTTCTTAATATAACTGGCTTTTTGAAATTTGGTCATTTGTAATTGCTGAAGCAATATGACCAACAAAATGAAACTTACATTGTTAGAAGTTTGTTCTCTGCAAAGATCGTCCTTTACTGTACCATTCAATCTCATGGATGCAATGTGATGAAATGTTTGTAGAGTATGTGTGAGTTCCATATGTGATATAATACACCTGACACATTCACAACAACCTTTTGAATAAAAGAAGATAAAATATCCTTTAGGCTGTTTCCCATTTAAGAGTGAATAAAAGGTGAATCAATATGAGATTTGCCACAATCTCAACAACTTAGATCACAAATATTTAACATGATTTCCCCTATGTTTATATATATTTTGTTGAGTCAGAAGCCTTACACCATAAATGCTATTCTAGAAATTGGTGATGGTGTGGCATTTTGGGAACTTTAATCCAGCTTCAGGTCTGGCACTAACTAGCTATAACGTCCTGTGTATGCCACTTAACCACCATGAGTTTCTTTACCTATTATATGGAAAAACCTATCACCCTGTCTAATGCACTGGATTATTGAGAGGTGAAATTAAATATTATGTGAAAAAGTGCCAAGGAAGTGTGGGTAATAAAAATTACTATTCTCTGTGTGACTTGACTTTGATTACTTATCATTTCCTGGTATCTAATTCTACTCAGGTATATAGAAGTCGACAGGTGCATTCAGCTGTAACACATTTTCATTTGGTATGTAGTAACTGCGGATCAATTGAGCTAAATAAAATCTTTGTTAATCTTCTATACCTGCACAGTCCAATTTCCTGTGTACCCATTTTTTTTGGGGGGGGGAAACTGTTTTTACTATTCCTGTAGACTTACAAGGAACAAGTTCTTTAAGTGAACTCCAAATGTGTACAGCTCATAATAGCGATTGCTTCCAGCCTTTCCAAAATAATATATTTTCTGAGGGGAAGAGTAATTTGGGATATTAGGCAAGATTTTAGATTCAAGAAGGATAAAGAATATCCCTTGGGGAAATTAATCCAAATCTCACTTAGCTTGTCAATATGACATGTTGTTTGGGGCCCTTTAGCTTCATAGTGAGCATAGTGGTTATCAAATCTGGCTCCCAATTATAATCACCTATGGAGTTTTTATTAATATGGATGCTGAGGCCACACATTCAGAGTTTGATTCACTTGGTCTGGAATAGAGCCTGGGAAGCAGTATTTAGTTTTGCTTTTCAGTATTTCTTAGAGATCCTTATGTGCAGCCAGGGTTAAGAACCAGTGTGTTAGAGCTTGAGGCTAATGGCCCTGAGAGAGGAAGTTTAATTCCTGGAAGACATGATAGATGTCTTCTAGCTTTACTCTCTTCTATGACATAAACCACCTGATTGTTACAATATTGAATATAACTGATCCAAGAAAGTCTGAGAAAGAATGAGAATCTACAGATGGGTGAACACTAATGAGTCAAGAAACAAAAGGGCACATTCTTCCATTAAGATACTATTCACATTGAGGGCGGGAAGAAGGAGACAAAAAGGAGAAAGGGATATTTAAAGATAATTGTTTACTGAGTGCTGGCTAAAAAGCAGAGCGCATAGGGAAATATACTTGGTAATAGATTTATCATAAAAGAATGGGCAACTTAGAAGTAAAATCAAATATCACCAAAGCAATGTAAAATCCTAGAAAAAGTTTTGACAATACTGTTTATTTCTAATTACACTGGCAGTAATTAGGCTCTACATGCACATTACACAGTTGTCTAAGAATGATACCAATATTTTCTATAAATAAATAAAAAGGCTTGAGAAATTTTAACTCTACAATTACCGTATTTTATTAATAGAGCTATATAGTGTTTGAATAAAATGTGACTAAAGAGAATTAAGTCACTAACTCTGAAAATTAGCATTTTTTTGTCTTTCAATATGTTTTATAAAGAATCATAATAATTTCCAGAAAATTATATTATCTATCCATCTTGCTATGTTGGCAAATATACAAGCTTCTATGCATGTATGTGTATATATTAATTATATTTTGGAACTCACACAATTAATCAGCTTACTGATTATTTTCATTATATGATCTTCAGACTAACAAAAAAAAATCTTTTTACTCTTTCAGATGTAGAAGTATATAAAACTTACTTAGTTTTATATACTTCTACTTCTGAAACAGTAGAAATTTGTGTTATTCTACTTATTATTAGTTGTTATTAGAGAACATTAGCCATTTGTGTGATGCTTTTCTACCTTTTTTTATGGGTATTTCACATAGGAAACTACTCAGTTACAGCATTTATTTATAGTTATGATACCCAAAAATAGAGAGGAACTTATTGTTGATCAGGATAATGGACCAACCATCAAAAAGTTCCAAACAGATAATAAAGGTAAAATGATTTTTGCTTATTTGATACACATAATAATCAGATAATAACTCAGCTATATATTGAATCCACATTTCCCTGGGTAAGAATAGATTCATACCAGCTTTGGATAAGTTATTTTAATAGTAGAAAACATGATGTTTATCTGAAGCTTGTTTATTTAGGAGGTTATAAATTACATATCCACCTGAAATTGTCTGTGCATGTGGTTGGAAACTTTATTTAAAGCCCTTTTACTTTGCCAGTTCAGAGACATCTGACTCTCTTTGTATTATATATTTATTTTATTAATGATGTTTAAATGATTCACCAATCAGTGGTTATATTTCACAAAATCAAGTTGCTGTCATAGAAGAGAGCTGTTCCCCTCAATCCTTGAAAGTGATTTTTAAAATATATACTAATTTGAACATTTCAAATGAAAGCTTAGCAAGGTAGCCCATCAGGTAATTATCCGAAATACTAATAGATATGATCTCAGCCTGCCTTTTGATCTGCTGAGGTACATGTATCACCTCTGAACAATATCCAGTTATGTCTTAGGAGAGCTGTTCAAGGAAGATAGAGAGAGTAAGAATTTCAAAGTGATATTCTCCTAATAGGAAAGCTGAGTACAACTTTGTTTAAAAGGCTGAAAGGGTAAGAGAAAAGGAAAATGTATAATCATATAGTACAGGTTATGCATTGTTGCTGTCACCGTGAGTTAGACAGTGGCTAACATGTAATTTATCAGATCATCAGATAGTTCATTTGTACTTCACCACAGGTTAAATTTTTCTATCTACTAATGGTGCCAATAATATATAGAAAAAAAGCATCATGAACTGAAGGGTTAATGGAGAATATTTTCTTTTTTCTGTAAACTGAACGTGCTTCATAATTACCTAGATGAGCATTTTAGTTGGAATTTGAAATAGTGTATGATTTTAATTTCATTGATCTATGGTTACTTTCCTTGCCGCCATGTTTTGTCTTTTCAGTACCCTGACAGTGAAAGGCTATGCCCACTGGGGCTCCAAAATGCAAATGATTGATTTCAGAATAATTGTCAGAATAAAAGAAGTCCGATTCATATTAAACTACCCAAACTCTTGCGTGGGTAATGAAATTCTAGTTATAGATGAAACTTCATTTATAACCGAGCAACAATTTGTTCCTGAGACATTTTTCCCACCATGTCACGGACTATTTAAAGGACAGCTTGGTAGTAAAGCATCTTTGCTAGGAAGGTCTCAATCTGTACATGGCACATATGGTACAATCAGAGTTGCAAACCTCATAAGTCAAAATGGCATTTGGGACTGTCCTGTGTACTGCAGCACTCAAGTATACTCTGTTGTGTCTTATGAAAAATCAGCTAGAGCATTACTACAGATGTATAGTGACTGATTTTTATAAAATATATAGTGGCATGCACTGGTATTTCTGAATCTCTTGCTATGGAATGGTACAATTTTACTTGTTTAAGTCAAATAAGTTGGTCATATACCCTGATGAGGACATTAATAAACAAGAGAGGCATATTAAATTGCACTCCAGTTATAGTGGAAAGGTTTTTATTTAAATGGGATTCTCTAAGTCACATTCTACCAGTTATATTTGTAATGGTAAGAAAAGAAATATTTTCATGAAATAGAATTTAGTTATTAAAAGGGAATGAGTTAAAGTAGAAGTGTCAACATTTATTAACTGTGACAAGTAAGCAGTTTATACAACTGTGGCAAACATCTGCTTTCACATCTGCTTTGAGTATCATCATGATTTTAAAAATGATTTATAACTCTGAAAATTGTAAAATGCCAACTTTGCTATTATGAAGGAATTTTCAGAACATAAAGACATACCTTTAGAGTATTCATGTAGCTCACCCTTACTGTACCTGGTAAAACTCGATGACATTGTAGTATATGTCTCAAAGTCTGTGTGACCTGAGCCTTCATGGCATTGATATCTGTTTTGACTATGCCAAATATTGTGGTTTTAGTTGTGAATCAAATATTTTGAATAAACTGATCAGTCAAATCAAGCTTTTGACTTTATTTTTTCACAGCCTTTATCAAACAAATTGATTAAATTAATCACACATTATGACATTGTGTTCTATGGTTTTTAGCTGTCATTTCTGGGATTCTTTAGAGTACAGTTATTAGGACTATTCACTCTAGTTTACTTGTGTGAAACAAAGGCACAGAGTAAAACTCCCTTCCTCTGGCAGCCACTGGTCTCTCAAACTGCTAGCAGGAATAGGGTTTTGTGATATTTTGCATTGGGAAGTAAATGTTTTCAATAGAAAACTTTCTATGTGCAAGATGCCCCAAATACTCTGATTATCAAATCTGGTATGCTACAGAAATAATGGAAAAATAAATTTATCATCCAGCCCAAGAATTTAGTAAAATGTTACACTTTAAGTTAACCCACAGCCTACAGATTAATGGTTAGTAGTTTTAACATCCTTTGGTCACAATAATATATACTATATTTTACCTGGAATAAAAGCATTGTCATATTTCTTTTTTAA